TATATATATATATATATATATATATATATATATATATATATATCATAGCAAACATTACAAATATGAGAGACTAAAAAAAAATATACACCCCTGAAAATGTTCATAAGTAGAGCATCATGAAGACTTGTTCATTAAGCAAATATGTCCAAAGCATAAACGATATGAAATGTGCATAGTAAAATACAATTAGTACAAAACTTAAACATTGAAAAAACTTGTAAATTTCAGAAACTTATAAATTTATACTCCTACTTTTGACACCAATAAAAGCTAGGTCAAAAACTAATCTTCTTCATCTGAGTTGACCTCCATGTTGAGGTGGTAAGAAACTTTTGAAACTTGCGTTCATAGCATGCTTCCTTACTCTGTTCCCCCACCTTGCTCTATCGTGTTTCCTCTTCTCTGTCTTCACCGTTCACCCAACTCTTAATGTCACTGCTACTGGCCATCGTTCTTCGGTGCTTTCGTCTCCGTTGCGCCCTCCCTAAAGTGCCCAGTCACCATCGTGTAGTTGGCTATTGTCATTCGTCGTTGTTGTCCATTCGCTATTGTTGCCTATTCGTCGTGGTCGTTGGTATGTATTGAGTTCCTCTGTATGATTATTGTTTTTGATTACCTGTATGATTATTAGATTCCTCTAGATGTTGACTTTTGGGTTTAAGGTCTAATTACATGATTAATTGTATGGTTAATGTTGCTTATTTAAATCCATTGAAGTTTTTGGAATCATACATGTGCAAAACCAATGATTAGTTGTGTGGAATATGTATATTTTATAGACAGAATATGTATATTTTCACTTATCGTGAAGATGGGGTTGAGGTGTTCTTGGTGGTGCTTTTAACTGATATGAGATGGTATTGATTTTGACAATTGAAAGACCAAAAATGTCTCCCCTTAATTTTTTTTATTTCTTTTATCATTAAAACTATTCATAATACCAAAGTTTGAAGTAGTATTTAGGATTCTACACATTATCCAAATTCTTCGCTACTTAGTTGATCTCGTAGTTAGTCTCCCCTTTATTTAAGTGAAAGTAATTCAAGTTTATAAATATGCTTTATCAAATTAAAAAAATGTCAACTATTGTAATTTTTTTATATAAAATATCATTTTGTCTACATTTGGTTCGGAATGTTGGATGGTTACTAGTAAACAATCCATTCTTCTTGGTGTGAGGCTAGTTTTCACTTGAATCATTACCATCACTACAACAAAATTTAGTATTACACAGACAATTATTTAATTATTTAATGACAATAAATTAATTACCTCTATTTTATTATTTAATAAGAATATTAATGACTATTGCATAATGCCTCCCATTATAAATCTTAAATGATTAAAAGAATTCTATAATGAGAAAAAAGAGATTGCAGTGACAATATGTGATTCTATTTTCTGTTATTAATAATGTTTATTCTTATTACAGTCTGATAGACAGATCAGTTTATATACTAGAGACTAGAGCTAGCTCACTCTGCAAACCTTACAACAGTGACTGAGCTGTTTTTCTTTTTTGAGTAACTGACAGCTATTTAGTGGGCTAACTACAGCTAAACTAACTGTACAATAGCACAGATGAGATGATTAGCATACACAATACTCTTAACACCAATGGTGATTTCTCCTATCTCACTGATGAGACATAAGCATGAGGTGATGAATTCAATCCTTTGTAATGCAACATTCCAACCAGATCTCTAAGATGATAATCATTTTGGAAATGTTTGGTGCAACCCATATTATGTTTAAAAGTATATTTGTTACAAGCTTAAAGCATAGTAAGCTTTATCCTTTAGCATGAGAAGCATGGTAGTCAAAATCACGAGTTGCCTTGTAAAATTGCATGATTCTACGCTTCTACCATGGAAGGGTGAGTTCGTCCATGATCAGAATCGTTTAGATGCAGAATTGATAAAATCTCTATTCTGGAACGTATAATCAGTGGACTCGTTGATTTTCTTGTGTTTGCTAGCTAATTTGTTTTTCACCCCATTTTCCAATTTTTTTATGTTTTGGGTCAAGTTATTTTTTTATTTATCGTTTTGGGCTTCTAAAAAACTAAGCCCATCAAAACTTAGACCTAAACGACTAAACCAAACACCATCCCAGCCTCCCCCAAAACTGCCCCAGCCTTCTTCAACCTCTCGTGAACTGTTCCCTAAACAGCTGCACAAATATTGTGAGCACCAGAGCACTCTCCTCTATCCTCTAGTGTGTCTGGAGATCCACTTTGCACTAACTGCTGTGTGAAGCTCTTTATGTAGTGTCAAAGCCTTAGAGTCGAAGGTAATAAATATACCTATCTCCTGCAGTCCCACTTTATAACTCTTTTATTTCCTCCTCCTATGCAAATCTGTTTTGCTAGCAAGTCTTTGGCGGGTTTTGTTTCTTGTTTATGTTCTTTTTTATTGAAGATGACAAACCCAACCTCAGCTGGCGCCGCAGATGGTTCTAGTGGTGCCTCCTCTGAACCTTCAAATGTTTTGTTGGTCAAAACTCTAAACTAATTGAGTCTTAGAGTTAGAAGTCTAAACTAGGTGTTTTATGTTATTTTGCTACTGCGGTGCAGTGTTTTAAGATGTTTGTTGGTCATTTCAGTTCTGTATGGAGTTTAGTTATCAACTTTATTATGCTTATGAATCTACAATTATGATATTTAAGCTTAATTAAGTATTTCATGTGTTGTCATGGTTTTTCCCCTCTTACTTATACTATGTTAGATGCATATATTTGAATTTTATATATCTCAGAATCTTACATTTTGTGTTAAGATTTCATGATTTATGATTCTGTGACTCTTTCCTGAGTCTAACTAGAATCTCGATGTTGACTACCTTTGCTGAGAAGGAGTATTAAAATACATGAAAAATATCCAAAAATATCTTTGATTTATATTCTCAGAATAACTTACAGCATCTTAAATTTTCTAAGATTATTTTCTCTGTTTCCCAATATTTCATGATTTGTTTCCTTATTTAGGTTGTGATCTGATATTAGACCATTAGTATAAATAAGCGTTAATGCTTTATGTTTTTAATCATACTATTAACAAATCATATCAAATAAATTCAACATCAATAATCTCAATGTATTTGGTCTCTTTTATTTCTTGTTCCTCTACTATACCTAAATCACTATAATTTTCATACATGCAATGTGCCAGTTTACACTGGCATAAATAAATAAATAAATACAAATAATGATCATAGGGACATAATGGCATCTGACAATAAGGATTATTTTACATAGTTTTGAAATTATAGAAACCATTATATTCAGTTTTAATAGTGGTGACTAAACTCGATTTATTTAGTAAAAAGCTATGTGGATTAAATAAATAATTTAACCCAGATAATAATATAAAGTAACAAAGGTAAATGCATTGAGATTAAGGCTTTCCACATCTATATAAAGCCCATTGCTCAATTAGATATGGCAAATGAACATTGCAACAATATACGTGGATAAGATAGTGGGGGCCTTTTATTTAAACAGGACACTTTCATAACCATTTTCACATCCACGTTCACAATGCGTTATAAACAAAAGATCATTAACTTACCCATGGGTCCAGTCCCTGTTTCTCTGCTATAATCTATCAAATCTTTCATACTATTTACCACTTCTGATATCTGCAACATAAGAAAAGGAAAGCTTAGTCATGTTAAATCAGTAGACCCTACTCAATAAAGATCGGAATACATATCTGATGAGTTCATAATTTCATAATTTTTCCAATATATTTTTATTAACTTATCCATTGAAAATCTAAAAAATAATAACATTCTCTGTAGGTAGCACAATGAAGTTATTAAAGGAATACCTTTGATAACCACACCCAAAAACTACCAAAAAAATATTTAAAAAAACACCATGAAAATATTAGTCAAACATTACTGGGTCAGCAGCGATTTGAGAAACAATGTAGAAGTAGAATTTATCAGTGAACTAGAAAAACTGCCATATTTTGCAGTCAATTAGACACAAACTAAAACATTGGACCAAGTAAGAAGCTTTATTTAAAACGGGGAAATGGGTGTTCAGCTCACAATTTTTCCCAAAATAGCATTTCAACAGGCAGGATTACAACAGTACCAAGAAAGACAGAAATTTGGGCAAAGAAACCAAGTGCTACATAGCAAGGTTTCTTCATCAAATTTGCAACATTAAAAATGGAAATACATATTCAAGGAGAATATGTAAACTAAAGAAAAGCATTTAGGAAGTGATTTTATTTATATTTAGTCTTTGAAAGATTTCAATGCAAATATTAACTCAATGACTGGACCACAAGATAGGTGATCCCTAAATGAACACACTCCTAATCTACATTTGTCACTCTGTTCAGATACAGTAGTTGAAATCACAATGGGATTCAACTTTACATATTAAAGGACATGCCTCAACAAGTAGAACGTTACCTGAAGGCACCGCACGTATCTCTTTGTATATCCTAAATCATTGACCAATGGGACTTCTAAAGCTTTTGCCAACTGACGGGCTGATGCAACAAACCTGAAAAAGCAGTAATGCAACATGTAGAATTAGGAAAAGGAAAACAGAGACTTGTTAAATCAAGTGAACCTACTCAAGTTAGACCACAAGTTTTGTATAAGTGAAATAGGAAGTGGGCAAATCAGACCCATCCCTGAAGCCCAATTATGATGAGACCTTACATTTCAAGACACATGTCAATTTCCTAAGCTCTTTTAGTCTAGGACACATGCAATGGCTTAAGAACACAGGTGAAAAACTTTAGCCATAAAAATTTGATATATCATGGATAAGACAAATGTTTGTACCATCTCCCATTTATTGGGAGTCAACCATAGGTAGTCTGAGAATCCAATAGCATATTAAGTAAGCCAAGTCATGTGTTCTTTTATTTATTATATCATAAACACATTCAATATAAGACTTTATTAAAAACCACTATGAACACATTCAGTACAAGAATCATAAAAAAGACCCAGCAGGATAACCCAAAAAGACAGGACAAAAAGAGAACATAATAAACTCCAACTCAAAAGGAAAATAAGCCAAGGACCACTGCATGATCCCAGAAGAAGAAAGTTACCAGATAATAAACAAAGAAAGTACAAGTTTGAAAGAGCAGCAACATTTTTGCAGGTACGTCATAACAATTTCACAATTGGATAATTAATAAAAGTCTCAAGCTCGGACATAAGCATAAAGAACAAGAAAAAATGGACTCACATATTGCAATTATTTTGTAACTCTGGAACAGATAAATTGGGTGTTGCATTTTGAGTAAATGCCTGGTATTTTTGAGCTACTGCTCCAAGCTGACTAACCTGCATACAACAATAGAGTACATATAGGAATAAATAACCCTAATGTACAACACCTTGCCATTGCCATTGGAATCAATAATCTAAATATATAAGCATTACTCCAAAGATATCTACAGAAATCATTCCTGGCAAACTACATAACTAGCAACAAAACCAAGAATACATTTCGTGATGCTTGGCAAAACATATACCAAGTAAAATCAAACCTTTCAATAATATTGGCACAAATATATAAATCCTGTCTAATTCTTAGCCTAAAATATCTAATAATCATCATAGCAGAACATCTTGTGAGCATCTATTGATACATGACTGGGATACAAAGGCTCCCGTGAATAAATTATTTAATCACCAACCTGAGGTATTAACAATCTTCTCGGGATGAGCTCTTCATGGCGCCGAGCACAAAACTCCCAAGAGCATATCTGAAAAGGAAATAACAACCAAAATGTTAATTTTTTTTTTTTGGTGTAAAGATAATGTCAATAATATAATGTGCCCTGAGTTTTAGTTAAAAGCTAAAGGTAATTATTCCTATAAACAACCTTCAGGTCTGGAGAGAAAACAATCCGAAGTTGACCATCACGAACAACACGAAGTTGCTCAAAAACGCTTTCTTGTATTGCTTTTGCATAATCTAGAACTATCTGGCCGGAGGAATTATGATATTCACGAGGCATGTCAACATAAAGTAGCTCTTCCAACGTACCACTTTCATACTTAATTTTGAAAAGCCTGGGAAGAACCTCAGCAGTTGCTTCTGAAAACACATCAAAAACTTCAGAAAAAGGATAGTGCAGCACAATCATATTTTTAAACAGTTGACATGTTTAAAAATTCAAACCCAAATAGGAAGATGGTGTCAGACCAAAAAACTGGACAAAGTTAAACTGAAAAATTACAAAAAGAACTTACCAAACCCACGGCCAGGTTTGCGATTACATATTTCACAGTGCCACACATCCTAAAAATATTTCAACAATCAATATGTTAGCTTAAACTAATGGTTAGCTTCATGAACCTAAAATGGTTGTACCTTGATTCCCACAGAATTTTCAAGACAATAGTTGCTTGATACATAATATGGAAATCACATCGTCAAAATCAAGATGCTAATAAATGAAAATAGTACAGTGGAACATGACAATAGACATTATTGAATAATCAAGAGACTAACTTATATGAAGTTATCTAGGCATCAGAGATTCAGTAATAGTTATTATATTTTATAAGGTTTTCACTTGCAGCAGACCTGAGGAAGGACTCCAGTAGTTTGTCTAACACTTCCATACATGGAAACACACCACTTCTTTTTGGCATTAGGAGCAAAATACTCAGCAACAAATTTCCTCCAGAATTCGATGTTGTTGTCCTGCATAACATCAAGTGGAAACGCATCATATAAGACAGAAGATATACATATCCAGATAAAAGACAATATCGAGCATAATTATTACTTCAGGTCTATGTTGTTGTTGATACATATAATGTGTCAGCCGCCTAGCACACATCCCAGGTTCATATGTTGATTTTGCAGGAGACCTCATAGGCATATTCTGTTGTTGAAATTGCTGTGGTAGATGAGACCGTTGTTGAGGCATTCCCTTCAAGAGTTGCTGTTGGTGCTGCTGCTGATGTTGTTGATATTGGAAAATTCTCTGCTGCTGCAAGAGATGATTCATCTGAGCAGCGGCAGCCTGAGAGGATTGCCTTGACATGTGGAGCAGTTGTTGCTGTTGATGTTGTTGCTGCTGATGCAAAAACTGCTGATCTGTATGTTGGGGTTCCATTTTAACTTGAGCCATATTTCTCATAGTTTGAAGTTGTTGTGGTTCCAGTTTCACCTGAGCAAGATTCCTTGATGGCAACTGCTGCTGCCCAAACTGATCACTGTTTACCTGTGGCTCCAACTTCACTGGTCCAACACCACCCATCCCTCCTCGAATCGACTGAAAATGCTGCTGTTGCTGCTGAGCATTCAGAGGAGCAGAGAACTGTTGCATTGACTGTTGACCATGTTGTTGGAAATTCTGAGCTTCAAGTTGCTGGGAATGCTGCTGATCTGGCAACATCTGGTTACCAGAAGCATTTGAAAATTGTTGACCCTGACCTTGACCAGACGAACCATGGTTCACCAAATTTGATTGCATAGGATTGCCAAAATTCATCCCATTTCCAACACCAGATAGCGGATCCGATTCTGCCCCAGCATCAACGCCTCCAGCACGCTGGCTACTCGCAGGGCCAGCAAGCCCAGAATTCGGAATTCCATTCTGGTAAGACTGATTCAGCAAGGAAGCTACATTAGGCATATTTCCTAGCATGTTCATGTTGTTAAACTGGGTTCTCTGTGCAACCAGCGAAGGGAACGAAGTTTGTGAAGGCCCAGGCCCCCCTTGACCCCCCAACATTCCCGAATTCGATCTCAAAAGGGACGGTGACACAGACTGGGCACTACCAATCTGCGTGGGTTGCCCAGGAGGCACCATTCTTTCACTATCACTGCCCTTTCAAAACAATCACAAACCTAAGCCCAACAACAACCACCACCACAACAACCTAGTACACAAAACATGTCCACAAACAAACTATCAATTTCAACCCACACAACGTTTCATTTCAAACCAAACTCCAATCTCTTACTGTGCCTCCAAATCAAACACTAACATTGAAATGTGCACTCTTCAAAAACCCTCCGCATGAGCCTCTGCACAACACAGGAATTTTCAGATCCAAATCAACAACAACAGTCCACAAAACACCACCCATAAACCGATACACTAATTAAAAAAAATTAAAGAAGCATAAAAATACCACAACATATCACACTAATCATTAAAGCCTTTAAAATCCATCTTTAGTTGTCAGCTTTTAGATACTGCATAACCACGTCCATGGATTAAAAAAAAAACAAAAAGCCTTTAAAATTCTACCAAATTAGCTTCTTTCTCGATCACTCTTAAACTCAATTAAAAAAAAGTACGATATAAAAGAAATTTAATCCAAGCAAAACACGTTGAGTCGAAAGAAAACCGAAACTAAAAGGAACGAAAATAGTAGCTAAATAAAATGGGTCTATCGAACCCTACGTGGAGTAAATCAACGATCCATGACTAAAAGCGAGGAAACCACGAGACCTACCAGGAATTGAAACTTCAGAGAAAACATGGATGAGACAAAAAAAGAAAAAAAGAATGGAATGGGAAAAGAATTGGAATTGTGTTGAAGAATATGATGAGTTGAGTTGAGTAGAGCTGAGCTGGGTCGAGTTGCTCCTTACTTGGCTAGGGTTTGTTGCTGTTCTTCTATCTCTCTCGAGTATTGTGCTCTGGCTGTGCTCTTTTTTAGAGAGAGAAAGTAGAGAGAGAGAGTGGTGTGTTGTGTTGTGTTGCTGCGGACGTCAAGATTGTATTCGATCTGATTGAATTTTTTTTGCTTCTCTTTCTCTCTCCTCTTCTCTTTCGCTTTCTGTTTCTTCTAATATTTGGTTTGAGTCAAATCTTATTCTTTCTCTCTGTTTTGCACATGAACCATGCGTTGCCGTCCATCTTCTTCGCCATCTAACTCTTCTATACTCTATCATTACCATATTTTTCCCTTTTTAACGTAATACTCTACTATTTTATACCAAAAATAAATGCATTTTATAATATTAAAATTCAATTTTTAATAAATAGGTATTTGTTGGCAGCAATAAATATGTATTTTTATAATATATAAGTTATAATTAAATTAAATTCATCTAAAATCTATAATTTAGAATTAAAAAGATAACATCATTTTTTATTTCTATTTTTTTTACTCGATTATTATAGTTTTTTTTATAGTCAAGGGGGCTAGAAGCCCAAATTACATTCCACTAAAAGAAAAATTAGCAGGCAAATCTGCTAGTAACAATGGTTGAATAAAAACAGGAGGAGAATCATAAATCTAAAGAACTTCTCCTCTTGTTGTATCAGGCTTATAATCTCTTGAACTAAATCAAAACATGGATGTGAGTGAGAACATCCCTTGTTAATAAGATTAGCAGCTATGTTGGAATCGGATTCTATCAAGACTCTTCTTCTAATCCTACGTTACTGAATGATTTGTAACCCATAAAGAATGGCCCTTAGTTCTATTTTAGCAATAGAGCAACAACCAATTCACATGAAAATGCTACTAAACATCTTCCCATGTTATCACGGATAACTCCTCCACATGAGGCTACACTTCCTTTAGTGACTGCACCATCACAATTGAGCTTTATATGATTAGTTGGAGGAAGAGTCCATCGTATAGGAGAATTAGTCACCCTTTGCTTGAATGACATGACAGTAGAAGAAGAATTCGGAACTCGACTTCTAGCGATGGTATAGGTACGAGCATTAATCTCTGCCACTAACTGGTCTGACTTGATATGCAGATCTTGAAACAGGAATTTGTTACGACGATGCCAAAGGGAATCGAGAGTTATGGCAAAGAAAATGTCCCAATCTATAGGATAATATCCTATTCTTGTGAGGTTCTTATTCATCTAGACTAACAAGTTATCATGAAAAAATTTCCCTGTCGTATGATTGTTAAGAATTTTTTTCCAAACTTCCTTTGCATAGGAACAATCCCTTAGTACATTAAGACTATCTTCTGCTCCTTGCATACAAATTTGGCACGAGTTATTAGTTGTCAGACCACGTCTCACACGCCAAGCATTTGTCATTAGGCTATTGTGGGCTATTCTCCAGAGGAAAACACGAATCCTCTCAGGACCATACCAACGCCAAATAATCTTAAAGATTTGTTCTTTGTTTGAGAAATGGTGTTGCACAATTGTTTCATATGCAGATTTCAAAGTAAAGGTTTCATCCATAGTCTTACCCCAAATTATCATATCACTCTCATTCCCTTCATTGGGAATTTGTTGTCTTTTAGTGGTCAACCATGTATCAATTGGGATGTATTCTCTTATGTGGTCTAACTCCCATTCACCCTGTTCATTAACGTAATCCTTAACATGCTTGTGAAGGTCTTTAATAGGAACAAAAGAAGAAGCTGACTGAATGATGGTCTTGTTAGAATAGTGAATTAAGTCTAACTCAACTCTACAAAACTGGCTTGTAAGGTGAGGGTTGCTTTCCACTTATATACTATTCAATTGCCTAATCTCTAGTCGATGTGGGACTTGAGTTTTTCCTAATACACCCCCTCACGTCCAGCACTATTAGGCTTGGTACGTGGATAAATGGTGAGTGGTCCTTTTTAATGATCTAGGATAGGCGGGACTTGGGTTTTTTCCCAATACAGCCCCTCATGCCTATGGCACATGCATCAATGGTGGGTGACCCATTTAAAGTGGATCTAAATGGCTCTAATACCATGTTAGAATAGTGGATTAAGCCTAACTCAACCCTACAAAACCGGCTTGTAAAGTGAGAGTTGTTTTCCACTTATATACTATTTAATTGCCTAATCTCTAGTCGATATGAGACTTAGATTTTTCCCAATAGGCCTCATACATGGTACCCAACTATCAAACCAAAACTTAATAGTTGCACCATCACCTAATCTCCGATGAACATGAGGCTTCACCAAATTCCAAGCTGCACAAATATCGCGCCAGAGGTTGGACATTCTCTGTTTCGTCGCAAAGTGTGGCAGAATCTCATTCGTACAACCATATTTAGCTTTAATGACTCTAATCCACAATTTATCAGGTTGTGTACTCGATTACTATAGATAAAAACACATTTTCTAATACATTTAAACACTTTTTTAATAGATTAAAATTTATTAAAATATAAAAAAAAAATTGTGTATCTTACATCATATTTAATAATTTTATTTTGATTTTATTACTCTCAATAAATTTTAACTAATAAAAAATATATTAAAAAAATGTATTGCTAACAATTCTCTTATTATAAATTATTTTATTAACTTTTTTTTTATCATAAAAGTATCTTCAACCAATAATAAAAAAATAATTTCTTCCTTTTATGTTTTCTAACATATTCGTGTTTTAGTTATGTTTTTTTTATTAAAAATAATTAACTAACATTTAAAAAAAAAATACAAGGATAGATTTGAATCTAGATTTTTTACTTCTACTATCCCATCATTAACATTTGACTCAAGTATAGTGCCTATATTTACATATGTAATAATTTAATATTTTAACATGAGTTTATTTTTTTACTGAATTTCAACACGTGTTATACATCATTTATTTTATATAATTAAAGTTATTCAAATAAATATTTTCAAATATATATTATATTATATTTAAAATATAGAATAAATACATTTTTAAGAATATAAATAAATGATATCTTAAATATATAATAATAAATTTATATTATAATATAAAATTATTTTTAATTATTGATATAGAAAGATATTAAGATTAAACATATAAATTATTTTGATATAAATAATTTAGGACTTCTCTTTATGAGAATCTTTCTATGAATTTTTCCTTCAATAAGTCTTTAGAGATTTTTATGATTTATTATTTCATTCAATTTTTAATTATTATATTTATTTGTTTATAAAAATTAAATATATCTTTAATCTCTAAATTTTTGTCAATATTTATTTTTAGTTCTTGAAGAAACTTTATTTAATTTTAGTCCTTGAAAATTCTCTCCATTAACATAAAAAAAAAATTGATGTTAGGGACTAAAATATTAAAGAGAAAAAAAAAATTAATGACTAACGGTGAAATTTGGCAAAATTTCAAAGACTAAAGTTAGTAAAAGAAAATTGTTTAGGGACCAAAATTAAAAATTGACAAAAATTTAGAGATTAACATATTTAATCCAATAAACTTTATTTTTATATAATATTTTAAAAAATTAATCAATAGTTAAAAATAATTTTAAATCACAATATAAATTATTTATCATAAAATTTATGTGGTCAAAAAAATTATTTATTATAAATTTAAATTATATTATAATTTTTCATATGTAAAATACATTTATTTATTGTAATCTTTTGTTATATAAAATAAAAATAACTCTAATATAGTAAATGTGAATGACTATTTTTCACGAGAGTATATTTAGAAATTATTTTTAAAAGAAGTATTTTTAGTGATTCTTTTTTAACTTTTGATCTAATTTATTTTTATCATATTAATTTATAAATTAAAATTTAATAATTTTAAAATAAGTTATTAATAATTAAAAATAATCTTGTGGCATAATATAAATTAATTATCTTAAATAAAAAAATATGGTTTATATGTTAAAAAAATCTCTTTATACAAGTTTTAAATATAACTATTATTTTAGTTTATGTTTGCACAAGTTAAATGTTTATTACACATAACTAAAATTTATATAAACAAAATTATATATAAAAATAAATACTATGTTTGAATGCATAAATTATATTTAAAACTTATATAAATAGATATCTGTAAGCATATAAATTATATTTTATATTTATGATAAATAGTATATATTGTAATATAATATTATTTTTATTTCTCGATAATTTTTTATTTTGGTAGGCTCATAATTAAGGACTATCCGGGGAACTATAGATGTTAGCTTAAGGGCTAAAATTATGTGCAAGACATGAGCTTATTGAGGTTGAGGAGTCATACGAAACTCAAAACAAAATAAAGAAAAAGGTTATCAAAATCACAATAGAATTTTGGCTCATCATCGAGACTCGATAAGAATATAATATAAATAGTAATATGTTGTTAGATGAAACGGAATTTTTTAGATTTTGTATTTATTATTATATTTATTTCAACATTTATTACAACATCTTAATCAAGGCTGAGTACTAACTTGATCATTAGAGTGACTTTTGTAGGTATAGTTATTTTCTCCATAAATAAGAGGAACTTGGATCATCGAGTCAAAGACTAGTGGTATGATAAAGGAGAAGAAAATTACCATTATGCCCTCATGTAGGTACATTTTAGCACTCACTATGCTGATTTTGAGGGTCATTATTGTTGTCTCCTTTGTAGGTAGACTACTTGAAGTAATAGTAACTACAAAAAAGAACATTGGAGTTTCATAAGCCGAACAAATGTCAGAGTAGGTAGCAATGGGAGATTAGACTAATCTTTCATATGTTATTAGGCTCTTGCAAGAAGAAATGAGAGCAATGTAGTAAGCAAACATACAAAGACTAAGGATCATATTCTATAAAACATACAAAAACATATCAACAAACAAAGAAGGAGTGAGAAAAATCTCACTCTATAGGGAATAGGTCGCAATCCTCAATACCCCTTCTCTTCATGATAACAAATACAATACCAATAATTAATGCATCAATTTCAATTGTAAACACCATAAATTACACTTTCAAACAAATACACAATAATGTAATGCGGTGTGCACCTACATCTAAATGCATGAGGTACCTGCTCATCATCATCAAGAATATCCAGTCGATACCTAAGCCCCAAGTTAACCTTAGGCTACCAACACAAAAGTGTTCCCACCAAAACACCAACAGGTTCTCACCAGAACCACAAAATTAGGTTTCCATCAGAACCATAGAATCATGCAAGTATGATGCATGTCACAACCATGCAATGCTTCTATATAAATA